AAAGATGAGTCACCAAAAAGGACATTTGCATGCAAGACGGACGTCTCAAAGACAAAGATGGTTAATCATTCTGAACAAGAGAGGAACTGCATCAAAATCATGCTGGGTCCATCCCCACAGCTTCTGACACCATGTCCTAATTTTATCCCTGCTCCCCGCCTCTGAAAGGAAGATGCATTTCTGGAGATGCAAACCATCACAGAGTGAGGAACTGTTGCTAAGAGTATGATGTGTTTGTAAACTATCGGTGGGAGTAAAAAAACAGAAAAAGAAAAGAGCTGTCAACCACTGTTGCCAAGAGCAACGTATCAAATTTCGCAGGATGTGGGTTTAGGGTTCACTGCACCAAGATTGATTTCCATTCTTTTTATTCACAGGTAAGTCCAAAACAACCCCCCAAAAAACAAAAACCAAAAAAAACCCCAAACAAGTAAGGTAGGGGGAGAAGGAGGAAAAAAATTTTAAAGGAATAACAATATGACATTGGTTTTTTTGTCAATAAAGTTGGATTCTAGGGATAGTGCTCATGCTAATAGAAATTGATGTTCCCTCCATTTTCCTATTAGCTTATTTCAGAATTCATCTGCTATCCTCTACGTACGTAGTTCACCAACAGACATAAGAGTTGATACACAATACCTACAATATCTACAAAGATCTATTGTGATGGTCACATGTAGCTATTGAACACCTGAACTGAGATTGCTCCACACAGAAATGTGTGGAAGTGTAAGTTGGATTTGGAAGATATTACCTACATTAAAAATAGCAAAATTATTAAATGTTCTGATATTTCTTTTGGGGGAATTTCTCAGGGATTAGTGTGCTGTATTCAGGGTTTACTCCCGTTACTGAATCAAGGATCACACCTAGCAGAGCTCGGGGTGACGCGGATCAAAGCCAGGTCAGTAGCATGAAAGAAAAGTGCCTAACCGCAGTACTGTCTCCGGTCCCATCTCCTGTATTTCTTCATAGCAGTGAAAACTGTCCCTTGTTGGGGAACACCTTTCCTCCAATGGTGCACGTTGTGCATCGAGTCTGGGTAGATGTGGGCAAAGGATAATGGGTACACGATGAAACACCCTCCAGGAGCAGCTGATGGCTGTTCACCTTATTGCCAAATACACACATATGTTATAGAGGGTCTCGGTTTATAAGAAAGTCCAATCACATGAAGTTTAGCATTATTGGCCTATAGCCTCTCCAATTCTGCTTTGCCCCAGTTCAATCCCAATCAAGGTTAGATGCTACAGTTAGGATAACTTGCTAAGCATACATGACAGTTTCTGTGTCTAGGGCTCATGTAACTAGGAGGTCAAATGAGGTTCAAGGCCAAACACCCGGTGCCAGCTGACACCCTGTTCTTGCCAACTTTGCCCAGATACTCCCTCTTGTGAGGCTTCGTTTCTGGGCCACTATGCAAGGTCGGTTTTATCTGCACCAGTGTCTGTCACCATGCTCCATAGTCCCTTCTTCATGAGATGGCGCTTGAAAGTGCTCCTATAGTGTGTGACATGTGTGATGCATATTAAGTGGTATGAATGATACAAGCATAAACCAATAGTTATCATCCTCACTGTCAACATTCTAATTACTATGTTCTTCATTTAAACAGCCGGTGGTGGGACCAGAGCGATAGTACAGCGGGTAGGGCATTTGCCTTGTACACGGTCAACCTGGGTTGGATCCCCGGCATCCCATATGGTCCACTGAGCACAGCCAGGAGTAATTCCTGAGTGCAGAGCCAGGAGCAACCCCTGAGCATTGTCTGGTGTGACCCAAAAAGCAAAAAAAAAAAAAATAAAAATAACATAAACAACCGGTGGAGGGACTAGAATGATGGATCAAAGAGCCAGAAGATACATTTTCTTTCCTTGCACTGTAAGATCCTCTGAGCAGCATCAGGTGTGGCACCTCCAAAATATAAATAGTAAATAGCCAGAAGTGACAGACTTTTAATGAATGTTTAGGTCTTATATAATCACTTTGGATTAAGTCATATAATGTTCCAATACTTATCCCTTCACTACTGTACATTTCCCACCACCAATGTCCCAAGTTTCCCTCCCGCTACCCTTCCCACCTGTCCTCCATCCCCCAGCCTACCTCTATGGAAACAATTTTCTTCTTTCCTCTCTCTCTGTCTCTCCCTCTCTCTCCCCACTCTCGTTCTCTTCCTTCTGGGCATTATGGTTTTAAGTACAGGTACTAAGAATTTATTTTATATATATATATAAAGTTATATACATAAGTTATTATATATATGTATATATGTATGTGTATATATATATATATGTACATATATATATACACACACACATCCCTTGGTGAATTCTGCTTCACAATGATAGGAAGAGCTGACATCCAAGGAAGGATCAAAATGCGACATCGCTATGAACGCTGAGCCACCACAAGCCAGTTATCCCTGTGGTAACTTTTCATGCTTAAAACCCCAAAGATCAGAAGGAGGCCCTTCTTTCTCGGCAGGTATTTGTATTGAAATTCAAGATCAAGCTAGCTTTTGCCCTTCTGCTCCGGGTTGGTTTTTGTCCTCCCTGAGCTGCCGTAGGACACCTGCGGTTACAAAGTTACAAAAGAGAAAGCAATACACCCTTGATGAAAGCCCTCCCTAGGGAAGATCTCCTAGTAATCTTTTCTTTTTTCTTTTTTGCTTTTTGGGTCACAGATTGCGATGCAGGATGCAGCACTATGCACAATGCACGATGTACAGGGATTACTTACTCCTGGCTCTGCACTCAGAAATTACTCCTGGCGGTGCACAGCAGACCATATGGGATGCTGGGAATCCAACCCAGGTCAGCCACGTGCACGCAGTCCACCCGAGTTCGATTCCTCCGTCCTTCTCAGAGAGCCAGGCAAACTACAGAGAGTATCCCGTCTGCACGACAGAGCCTGGCAAGCTCCCCGTGGCGTAATCGATATGCCAAAAAAAGTCTCACAGTGGAGATGTTACTGGTGCCCGCTTGAGCAAATCAATGAACAATGGGAGGACAGTGCTACAGTGCTACTACCTCATTCATCAGATTTTCACCAGGATGGAAATTTGCCATGTTGCATATAGGCAGAAATGGAGTTTTTAGAGGAAATGTTCTGAAACAGAAAGGCCTCAAAAGGGTTATTTCATAATCTAAAAAAACATATTATCATTGTTTTCCCCATTTTGGGTAGTGAACTGCAGTTCTAACTTAATATTCCACAGAGGACAAATCCAAAGCACTACAGCCATTTCTCCGTTGCCATTTTAGTGACAGACATAACTGTAGTTAAGTATCTCTTAACCAATAAGCTACCCGAGGTCCAGGAAGGTTTAAGCAACTTGGTTGTTTGGGCTTACTCTGGAAGTGCTCAGGAGTCACTCTTGCTGGGGGTTGGGGGACCATATGGGATATCAAGGATCAACCACATACAAGGCAAGTTCCCTATGTGCTGCACACACATACACACACCCTTAAGCAGCACTGACTCTACATTAAACCTTTCACAACACTTTGAGCTGAGAGGAACTATCATTACATAAGATTTCTTAGCAGTCAGACTTCCCAGCTACTCTCCCCACTGTGGACCCAGTGTTTGAATAAGACCAGAGCAAATGCTTACAGGGCCCTTCCACTCTGTAATTTCGATTTGGAGATCCAGTTTTTTGTTTGTTTGTTTGTTTGTTTTTGCTTTTTTGAGTCACACCCGGTGATGCACAGGGGTTACTCCTGGCTCAGCCCTCAGAAATTACTCCTGGTGGTGCTCAGGGGACCATATGGGATGCTGGGAATCGAACCTCAGTCAGCTGGGTGCAAGGCAAACAAACTTCCTACCCACTGTGCTATCACTCCAGCCCCAGATTCAGGATTTGAAACTACCATGTCTTTATTTAGGTCACGTTGTTAACAGAATGCATCATCATCTGGGGAACGATAAACTCATGTGCTCTTTCCCTTAACTCCATTCCACTTCTTAAATTCATGATAGAAAGGGAAAAAAAAATTAGATCACTCTGCCCTCCAAGGCACTAGGAAATGCACATTTAGCTTCTACAATGCTAGGGAGGAGAAAAAAAGACCTCCTCAATGGAAAATAAAGAGATGTTCTGAGCAAGGTGTTTAGAAGAACTCAGCATTCATAAACTCACATACCAACTAACACTTTCCTTCTTGCAGCACTATTCATTCATTCCCCCCACTAAATTAGGATCCCAGTGCTTGCTGTTCAAATCTAGCCTCTATCTTAACTTAAAACAAAAAAGATCAATAAACTTGGCGGGGAAAGTAGCAGCAGCAGCCTGAAAGTTCAATATAATTTTTTTTAAATTTTTATTTTTAAATAGAAAATGCCTTTATTGTAGTGCAATCAACTTCCAGCCGTGACATCATAAAGTGAGAACACATTTAGTAACATTTTACACCACGCTGTAAATAAAAAAGTGTATCTCTGAAAAAGTCAACATAGGAACATTGCTTCTCCATTAATGTCAGAAAATGCCAGGTTTCTCTCAAGACCATGGGGTTTCCGGTTAAAGAGTGGGGAAACTCAGAAGTTTCAGATCCTTAAAACTCTCGTGCCTGGAGGCACTCAATCCACAATGACCTAACCCCCCCTTTTGGAGTAGTAGGTCGGGGTTGGGGGCTCTTGGACCTGCTGGCAAGGTCGAGGTTCACTGGGATTCCCGGCTGAGGCCACCGCCGTCCCCACCCCCCCACCTCCCGCCCCCGCAGCGTTTTTTTTCTAAGTAGCATTTTTTTCTAAGCAGGAGAATCAGTCAAAGCTGATGGAAGAGAAGGCTGGGAAACCTAGACCCAATTCCCAAGCCCCGGACTCTCAGAGATCTGAGTTAAAGTGTGCAAATAAGCTGAGGAGACCCAGAGGATGCGCTGTGGACCCAGAGCGGCTGCTGGACCTGCATCCCTGGCTCCCCGCCGGCGACCCGACGGGCTCGACACGAGGTCGCGTGCCAGCCTAGCGCTTCCGGGGGGGCGGACGTGACTTACCTCGGCGGCTCTGCCGGGACACGGGCGTCGGGACCCTGGCGGCGCGGCGGCGCGAAGTTCTGGGCTCCACCCTGGCTCAGCCGCCCGGGAGGAAGTTGGGTGGGCCCTGCACACGCAGCCGCGCCGACGTGAGGTGCAAGGGCGCGCCCCCGGGACGCGCGCGGGGGCGCTGCAGATCAGGACGCGCCTCAGTTCCCCTTATCTGCTCCTGCCTCGCAACTTCCAGGACCGCTGCAACAAAATAAACTTTTTCTATTCCTGCCATAAATAAATAAATAAATAAACAAATAAATAAATAAATAAAAGTTGCGCCTGCTTTTCTCTTTCTCTCCTCCCTCCTCTCCCCGCGCCGCTCGACCGCTTCAACGCTCAGGAGTGACTCGGGTAGAGCTGACTCTTGGTGGCCTCCCTCGATTAGGAATAAGGGACCCTGGGGGACACACGGTAGCTCCACAAAAGTCCAAGAAGCCCTTTTCTTTTACAACGGTCTCCCTACGTGTTTGCTTCACCCTGCTCGGTGGGAGCTTCCCTTTTGAGTCTAGTTGTGCAAGGGCCCATCGCGCTGGCCTGGGGCGCGCGGGAGTGGAGAAACGTGGGGTACTCTGAGCGCGCGACCGCCGGCCGAACCCCCACCCTGCTCCACCCCATCTCGCCCCGCTTTAAACCGTCTCAGTCCCAGCTGGGGGTCAGCGGTGGATAGGGCAGAGCTCTGGAGACAATTTCTCAACCCTCTGCTCCCAGCAGAGTTGAACAAACATTAAGTGTGTTAAAGTGTGCAGTTGGTGGTCTAAGATGTGGGCTCTTACATATTGCTGAAATAATGTGTACTCCCCCTCCCTTCCTGGAAGAGAAGTAGGCAATATCCATTCATAAGTGTGCAATTCGTTAATTTCCAGAAACCTTACGTCTAAGAATGGAATTAAAACTCTAACAATGAAAGGGGGCCGGAGTGATAGTACAGAGGGGAGGGCGTTTGCCTTGCACTGTGGTTGAACGACTAGAGTTTGATCCTCAGCAACCCATATGGTTCCCCAATACCTCCAGGAGTAATTCCTGAGTGCAGAGCCAGGAGTAACCCTTAAGCATGACAGGGTGTGAGCCCACAAAAGCCGAAGAAATGGGAAAAAAAATAGAAAAAAAGAAAAGCAACCTATTGCGCAAGCCCATTCTTGGACGCAGGATGTGTAAGAGCAGAGAAGTGGCTGCAACTATTGGTGGTGGGGTTGGTGGTGGTGTTTCCCGACTCGGGAGATATGGGAGTGTGGTCTTGCAACACTAAGGTTCCATAAGAACCATGGGGAAGGGATACAAGACACTTTCTCTGTAGTCAAAACATCCAAAATTAACCGTTGATAGGAAAATGTTTGCCCTGATTAAAACCACGTGAGACATTACAACAACCTACTAGAATGACTAAAATTAACAAAAAAAAATTATTATATGAAGTGATAAGCTTAGATTTATCCATAATAGGGGAAATATTGATAGATGGTAAAGAGTTTAGAGTTTTCAAGACTAAACATTTAGTTGTTTGAATGTCTTTATCTGAAATACAAATAAAAAGAGAAAAAATCCAAATTTGTATGGGAAGAACTATTTGAATCAATTCCAGAAATTCCAGAAATTTGTCTAGAATATCATAGGCTACCAAAAATCTATTGAGTATTACAGAGTACTATCACCTTATATGTATAATCAAAAGGTTATAAAATTTATAACAGCTTTGTTTTCTATATCCAAAAATATATTATACCAGAACTATATACTCTGAAAAGAATAAACAGGATTTAAGAAACAAATGCCAGTGTTATGTAATTTTAGTTTGGTTTACAAACTTTATTATAGATCTTCTTAATCTGAATTATGTTATTTCATCTCTAATTGGGTTGGAGCAATAGCACAGCGGGTAGGGCGTTTGCCTTGCACGCAGCCAACATGGCCAACCCGAGTTCGATTCCTGTGCCCCTCTCGGAGAGCCCGGCAAGCTACCGAGAGTATCTCGCCCGCCCGGCAAAGCCTGGCAAGCTTCCCGTGATGTATTCGATATTCCAAACACAGTAACAACAAGTCTCACTTTGGAGACATTACTGGGCCCGCTTGAGCAAATCGATGAACAACGGGAGGACAGTGACAGTGACATCTCTAATTATTTATTTTTGCTTGATCCACATACTACCTGATAAAAGAGATTCAATATTACCATCTTCTCAGACTATCTAAAATCTATCCAAAAGAATTCTGATTCCAGTTTAAATAGTAAGTTTCTGTTTATGTGTTTGCACTCCAAGATTACAGTAATTTGATTAAAGCAAGAAAATAATGTGCATAGGGATTTATTACAATTGACCCGATTCAATATTTTAGAATCTCATATTAAGATTTGGCAGTCTTAAATGAGCTTAGCACCACATTTAAATGCTGGCTATAAACATTGCCCAGCTGTATATAAGATTAACACAAATTATTTCCCTAAAGCATTTGGATAACCAACAAGGCCTTATTCAACAAAAGCATTTAAATTATAGTTTTTATTACATTAGATAATTTTATTCAAAGAAAACTCTTTTCTGTGAATTTCTCTACTTTCAAATAAATTTCAAATTCTGAGAGTCTTGTGGAAGAAGTTAATAACAGATATATTATACATTTGCATAATATCTTTAGGTTTGCATATTTATAACAGTAACTTAGCATTTAATAATGATTTTTTTGCAAACACTAGCTTCGTTGTACTATGATAATTTTCATAGTTTTACAGATAACAAACTGTACTTTTTCTTCTGGTATAGAGGCTCACATGCAGAGAAATGCATCGACATTAAGTGCACCAATTAATGTAAACCCTTAATGGTATTAATTTTGATAAAACCCAAAGAATATTTTTGTGATAATTATTTTTGTGTGTCCTACATATGAAATCTTTACCAATCTCACAATAGCAATTTTTTTCTCCTAGTAATTTTTATAATTTTAACCATATTTTTAGTTACTGCACATGATTAATCTTGAATTAATTTTTATGAGGAGCATGAAGAAGTTGAGAGACATTTTGTTTCTCATCCTTTTATCTAGATGTCCAAGCATTGTTTGATGAAGATATATTTTTTCTGTTTCAGCTATATCACCACTTGGATGATTGGACGATAACCAAATCTGGTCTGATTCAGTGAAAACTCATTTAACCCTCACACTAAGAATTATTCATTTGTCTCATGTTTAGTATGCCCAGATCTCAAATGCAGAAGAAAGGAACTATTTATAATCTCCTTCCAATGAGCGTTCCTTCCAGGCTTCGAGTGAAAGGACTCAAGTTGAAAATAAGCGGTTGGCTTGTGCCAGGTTCAGGCTTTATGAATATTTCTACTTCCTTATTCTTTCCTAGATTTTTGTTGTTCTTTGTTTTCTTTTATGTGGTGAAGGGGATCGAACCCAGAGCCTTAATTCATGCAGATCAAATGCTCTTCCTCTGAACTATACCCTCAGTCCCTGCTTCCTAGCTTATGAGTCACAAATAGACCATAGCCCTAGGTAATAGTCCTCGGGGCATTTTTTCCCCACATTCTTTTTACTGGAAAATATCTTGGTTCCTGTTACAGGAGAAACATTTTTTTTAAAAAAAGAATGATTTCCATACAAATATAAAATCAAGTCTCGTCAAGAATTTTTGTTTAATTCATTAATTAAAGAAAGAAGCTATAAAATGTCAAAACTGTCTCAAAGGAAAATTTTAACAAGCGTTGTTACATGCAATAAGGAATGTGGAGAATTTTCTGCTTTACAAATATATAAAAAGACTAATGTGTTCCTCAAACAGTGGTCAATCACATTTTACCAGATACAACTTGGATTTCTGTGATTAAGAGTCATTTGTATTATTATTATTTTACAAGTTTCTGAGTTGCAAAGCACCTCACAAACAATGAAACAGAGAGGATGGGTCAGCTAGGAAAGATCCCTGGTGATCTTCTATAGTTTATTTCCAAGCCCTCACACTTTTTTCTGATGCTTCCCACCTTCTTCACATTTTATTTACCTGGTGAGACTGATTCTTTTTTCTGCTACAGATTTTTATCAGCATCAGCTCTATTTCCCTGACCTTATACAACTGCTTTTTTGACTTTTCACATGGGTGTCCAATAGGTGGCTCAATCATTTTAGGGGTGGGTGTAGTAAATCCGCACTTGCTGGTGCTCAGGGGACCATGGGGTTCTGAGCATCAAAATCAATTTTCCTGCATGCAAAAATATGTTGCGATCCTCCTAGACATTGACCCGTGACGCTTTCAGAGGGGACAAGCAACACTCAGTGGGTCTAGGAACCGCTCCCAGCAGCCCTTGGCCAACCAGACTGGCAGTTCAATGACCAGGCTTGACTCTGACTGCAGCACTGTTGAGGCCCAGATGAGCTAAAAGCCACCAGGGCTACATGCAATGATGCTGGGGATTGAACTGAGTTTCTTACAAATATGAGTCATGTGTTCCTGACCACTGAGCTAACTCCCGGGATCTGAGTACCTCAATCTTTTTTTTTTTTTTATTTTATTATTTTTTTTTTTTATTAATGAAACACCATGAGGTACAGTTTTGGACTTACAAGTTTTTGTGCTTGGGTTTCAGTTATACAGTGATCGAGTACCCATCCCTCCACCAGTGCCCATTCTCTACCACCAATGATCCCAGTATCCCTCCATCAACCCCTCCATTCCCCTCATCCCATCTTGCCTCTGTGGTGGGGCATTCCCTTTTGTTCTTGCTTTCCTCTTGGGTGCTGTGGTTTGCAAAAGAGGCATTGAGTGGCAATTAAGTTCGGTCTTTAGTCTACTTTCAGCATGCATCTCCCATCCTGGGAGGATCCTCCCAACATCCTTTACTTGGTGTTCCCTTCGCTAGCTGAGCTGCCTTTTCCCCTACCATGTGCGGCTGCCCTTCAAGCCATGGAGTGAGCCTCCTGGTACTTATCTCGACTATTCTTAGATGTTAGTCTCCTATTTTGTTCCTTTATATTCCACAGATGAATGCAATCTTTCTATGTCTGTCCTTCTCTTTCTG